CCTTGGGGGACTCTGGTGAATCTCCCGCAACTTCCTCACTCTGGAAATCATTCCTCCACTTCTCTTGAGCATCTCCCCAAGTCCCTTCCTTCTTCATTATCAGATCAAGAGTCTCCCATCCCTCCTTCTGACTTCTCACCCACTTCCTCCAATGCCTCCCTTAAATCACTGGTTCCAAATCCCCTCTATCCTCTTCTCTCTCCTGTAGAGGACATTATGCTGGGACCAAGCCAGCTGTTTCTACAGGAGGGGCTCCCAATGCCCGGTTCATGGCCCGGTACCAGGTCATTGCCTTTGCCAGGGCTGGGCCGTGGAGACAGATCTCACACACACACACCTCACATGCACATACCCTGGTTTAAAAAAGGTGAGGGACCACTGCTCTCCAGGATTTGGGCAGGAAAGTTTATTTGGCTGGGCCGTGGAGACAGATCTCCTGCACACCCGCCTCACATGTACATACCCTGGTTTTGAAAGGTGAGGGACCACTGCTCTACAGGATTTGGGAAGGAAAGTTTATTTGCATTGCTTCGTCATGGAGTGTTAGAGTAGGGGCCATTGCATTCTCTCAGGGTTTGACAGGAGGTTTCTCCGTTTTGAGTTATACCACCTTTTGGGGCATGCACGAACTCAGAGGCATGAGTTTTCTTCTTGGGAGTTAGCCTCTGTCTGCATTGCAACCGGTACAGTTTCCCCTAAAAGATCTGGTACAGCACCTTCTTGGGGCCCTGGGCCAGGTCAAGATAGCCTGCAGAGATGTCTCTACTAACCTCTTTGCAGCTAGTTCAGGTATTTACATTGGCAACACGAGCAACAGGATTGTATGGTTAATTCCCACAGCAGTGTTGCCAGCCTTTAAATAAAAGCAGTGGTGGCCCATAAAGAAACCAGGTCAGGCAAGCCATATACTGTTTTATTCATGGTGAAAAAATAATGGGGGGGCGTCTAAGGATTTCTCCTGCTCAGACTTAGAGCTTCATGAGGATTCTTTTGTTTTGTTTTGTTTTGTTTTGTTTTAAAGAGTGTTTATGATTGCATTGAGTATCATGGCTAAGTGCCTGTGCATCTTTTTGTTACGGAGGCTGCCCATTACACTGAATGAAATGGTGCAGTGATGACTGAATATCTTTGACAAAGAAAATAAGAACTCAAGCTGTTATTAAGCAGCACTTCAAACATGAGCAGGCAGCAAATCCCCGTGCAAGTCCCAATAAAATGAGAAGGGTTTAAGCAGAATACTTTAAAGGTCTCCATTGAAAACAGCACTTATCTAGAGCTCCATATACAGTGCAAGAGGGAGAAGGGAATGAACGACAGAAGGAATCCTGAGAGAAGTTGTGTCTCAGTTAGAGAGAAGGGGGTGCCTTGTTTGTGTTAACACAATTCTTGCTGCACTTGATGATGGATCATGGCATGATACTGTTGGTACTCCTCATGAGTTAAAGAGAGAACGGGAAAGACAGGTAGAGGTCTGTATAGGAGAGGCACAATTCTCTGAGAGATGCTGATCTGGATGGCACCACAGCTTCAGGTTTTTGACACAGCAGAGAAGAACTGGTGTGAAGTGGACTGGTAAATAATACTTCCAAGGGGACACAAAAAGTATGCAAAAAATCAAAAGTAAGAGGATGACCAGAAACAAGATTTTAAAATCAGGCAAAACAGAGGAGGGAATAAAGTCTGCCAAGTGAAAGTTTAAAGGAGGGGGGGCAAAGATGGGAAGCCCAGAACAATCAGAGCCACGTGAGAATTAGAAGACTTTCTTGTGTGAAGATATGATTTTTGTTACACAGATAGCTCCACTTCAACAATGTGATTTTCAATACTGAAGTATCTGGCCCAGCTGGAGCAGAAGATTTAAGAGTTATGGAACGGCTTCAGGGTTCATGGAGCAACTATGAGTATGGTTTCATTTTTTACGATATGGGATGCTTCAGTTGATATTCTCATTAGCTACCTCTCACTCGGTCCTTTTTAAGGAGATAGGTGGGATAAAAATGTTTTAAATTAAATAAATAAATTGCAAAACAAAAACCAGAAAAGATTATAAGGAAGGGAACAAGGCTTTTCATAATTTATTTTGTAGGGAGAAAAAATGTCATATTTGAAAGAGCAAAATTTAATAGAAATGAATGGAACTTGCAGAAGCTTTTATTGGTGCAGAACAGTGTAACTGCTTATTTGGTGCAAAATAGTGGAACAATTTTAAAAAACAGGTTCATAAGAGACAGAATAATTCTGGATAGGCAAGATGGCCATTTCCCGGGCGGGATTCAGCAAGCAGCTAAATTTCTTATTTGAAAAAAATATGGAATGGGTAAAATAATTAAAGAAAGGGGCAAAAAAGGTAACAGACTATTTTGTACACAGCATCTCTCAACTAAATTCCACCACCACCCTTGTAGACTGATCTAATGGAACAGCAAAAATGGAAGGAATGAGCAAAGGAAGCAACAACAGTCCAATGCAGTGACACTTACAGAGCAAATCTATTATAAAAACTGTTTGCAAGTAATCCGGGTTTGATACAGAGTTTCTACCAATATAGGAGTGTACAAGTCAATGCAAAACCTTACCAGGATTGCTTTGAATAAACAAGAGTCACTATCCAGTACCTCCTCCTTCATATGGTACTAAATTATGTAACGGAGGAATCACTGCTTTGTACAATCTGCTATACTGAGGGAAAGGTACGGAAAAATACTTCTGGATGTACAGACATACAGTATAGTTGGAAGACTTGACACAAGGGCTTGACTTTTGAAAATCATTTTACTATAAATGTTAATAATTAGATGAGAAAGGTTCACTTTTTAAGTATGTTTTATTAATACTTCTGTATGGCTGTTCAGGTTAGTGATAGAGAACATCACAGTGTCAAGGTTTTCTGTACAGAGTTGTATTTCCTTGAATGTAAATTAATAGTGTTGATTCACCTGTGGGGTATGTGCCGAGAGTGCCTGTTAGGACAACTGAGAAGTATAAAACAATGTTTATCAATGTAACTGCAAGCTGATTGGTCTGTATGGTTCTTGGCTGTGAAGATTCTATTTCTGTATAAGGGATGTGTAAGAGCTACTGATTAGTTAGAGTGGAAAGGGATATATTATCAGGGAGTGAGAATGAGTGTGATTTGTTTTGAGAATAGGTGGTTTGCCTTGTTTACACACACACACTTTATAAATATAGAACAGAAAGTGTTTTAGTTGTACAAAATAAAAATAAAGGTATATGATGTATGCTGAAGAACCTGGCAATTTGAAACATTGTTTTTATACTTTGTTTTCACTATTTCAGTAAATTTGTGTATTCCTTTATTTTTTTAAAAAAAATAAAACTCATTTTGGTTTAATAAACCTACTTACTGGTTTATTAGTAGCAGTCAAATTATATTTTAGCCATGTATGCAGCTGAAGTATTGGGGTAACAGATAGCTTGTGTAGTGTCACCAAAGTAAACAAAACTGTGGGCTTTGCCAGATGAAATGTTGGGCTCAATTACATTATTGTAATCAATCCTGACCATTCCAAAGCAGCTCACACTAGCTCACTCTGTGACGATAATGCAGCTGCGCCCTATGTTTCACCAAAACATTCTTTTAAAAGAGCAGTGTGAAGTTTTTAGCAGAGTCATAACAGCACTGTTATGTCTTAATTAGTGACAAAGCTAATCCAAGAGGTGGTGTCCCTGTTCATTGGTTTAAAAAGTAAGTCCAAACTTCGTGTAGGTGCTTAGAGGTGGTTGTCATTTGGGCAGTGACAAATAAAGGTAGTGAAAGTTTGTGAGTACCACATAGGAGAATTCCATTTTGGTCTGAAATTTTAAGCAAAGTGATCTAATTTAAGGAATCATGACTAACCGAAATGGGTTACATTTCTTTCAGTATAAAACTAAATTTAAACTCCTAACTAGAGATGACATGCCAGACAAATGAGCAGATCAATACACTCCTTTAGGTTATACATACCCTAACCTTGCACATTCCTTTGATACAGATAATGCAGAAAGATTGCATATACAAATATGTGTATTAGGGAACCTTGTGTATAGAATTATTAGAGAAAGTTGCCTTCAAAAAGAATGTTATTTCTCCTGCATTTTTAAAACAGGTGCAGACAGGTGTTAAAAGGACATAATGAATCCACATGAACTTGGCATGCACTGTATATACTTATCTCTAGTTAGGAATTTAAATTTAGTTTGATAGTGAAGGAAAGATAACTCATTTCACTTATTCATGATTCCTCAACTGGATAATACTAGATGAAGTTCAATAAAATATCGTCCAGAAAAAGCATTTTCACTTCTGCTTCAACACGGGTGCTGCAAGAGAGAGAGAATGGCAAATGCACTATGAAGGTTCTTCTGTGGTAGATTTTAACCCCACTATTGGAAATGTAGTTGCATCACTGCAGTACTGTGGAAATGACAAGTTTTTATTTTTAAATTATTAATAAAAAGAGCTTTCAGGTGAAGATGATCTGATAAGCACACATTTTTCTATTTTATGGAACTAATGCAGTTTAGGTACTGTCCATGGCCAAACATAGTGTTTTATCATTGATGAGCAAAGCATTTGCTATTCCTCTTTGGCAGATGATTTCAAAGAATAGACAGTGATCTGTCTGTTCTTTTAATTTACATTCTTTTAAAAAGTACTGTACAAATGTAACATAGATGGACAATGAGTTTTCTGAGAGCCAGTTTATCTATGCTTGCTTATGGCATGATGGTTGCATCAGTAATGAGTGGCAAGTTGCATCTCTGGATGAACCATCACAGATCAGTCACTATTGGTATAACTTATTATCACTTCAAACACAGTGTATTTCATTGCAGTCTGTTCATACATGCAGCTGTGAGTAATCAATACCGGGGAATGAGCAAATAAAGTAATAATGGGTGCATGTACGAATAGCCACAAGGTTCTTCCACTTGTATGTTACTGGGCACAGTGGTATTTTATGCCTATAACACTGCCTTTTCTGTTTTCTTCCTAGATGCAAGCCAAGTTCAGTGTCCAATATGAAAACATTTTCTTTCTATGTAGAGTATTGGAACAACTTCTTGGAAGAGGAACAGAGCAGGAAAAAGCGGCTAGATCAGATTGTGATGAGGAGAAAAAGAAGATTCTACAGAGCCTTAATCAGGCTGTGTTTCACCTCTCAGATGAATTCCCTCTGTTTTGTATTTATTTATGGCGACTGGGCACCCTCCTGAATGCAGCGCAAATAGAAGCTGTTGAAAAAACCTCTCCAGCTTTATAGCAATACTTTATTGCACTGAGAAGGAGGCAAACAGCAATCAAGCAGTGTTTGCCACTGAAAGGACGTAGGTCATCACAACAGGCGTGAAATCCATTTCCCGCACTGATGCAGTTTCCACTTTGGCATCCAAAATTGCTTAGGTAGCTGGTGGGCAGTTTCACTGCCACAGTAGTGAAAGGTTTGTTCCTGTGGACAGAATGTGAGGAACTTTGTTCTTAAAATAATTGTTGTAATAAGCCAAAGTAGCTCTGATTTTTTTAAAAAAATTAAATGTTCATTTAAAACTATAGCACAATCTGGGGCAGAAAATTCTTTACTGCAGTTTTAATATCTACAGGGCTTGACAACTGGAATACTACGTAACATATCTTAGAATGCCATCTTCAATAAGGACTAGAGAAAACTAAGTGAACAGAATGTATTGTCCAGATACGGATAAACTTGAAAAACATGTTTCATTTTATAGCTTTATCTTAAAATTACTATTTTTTGCTTTTGTTAAGTGTTATTTATGAACAGTACTGAATAAAAACATGTGGCTTTTTTTCTGATACATGTGATTAAGGTGGAGGAATGTGAATTACTATTATACTAAAATAATACTGAATCATTCCAACTTACAATACCAAGGAGCACGAGGCAGGAAAACCTGAATAAATATGTATATATTACCCAAAACCCAGTGGCGATCTTTGCGCTGGACCTCATAGCTTTCGTCAGCATGAGGACTTCATCCTTCCTCTTTCAGCTCCCAGCAGCCTCCTAACACCCTTCTTCAGAAACAAGGAAACCTTTTTGATCTCTCTCTCTATATATAGATATAGATATAGGCTCTTTAGAGCAGGTGGAGGGAAAGGATATCCCCAGCCTGGTATCATTGGACACCAGAATCTCCAACTGGCTCTTAGGTGCAGCCATTTCTTCATAAACTCAATTAGTAGCTAAAGAATTGTAAAACATCTGCTAAAGAGGAAAGGAAAAATAGATGGTAACAAATACTTTTCTTCTAGGAAGTAGTCTGTCTTCAGATCATCTTTCTGAGAGTGATAAAATGACTGTATATAATTAATCATATTTCCTATTTAAAGGCAGTCTATCACATATTTACCTTCTGATGCACCTTTCAGTCTCACTAGTCTCACTGGTGCTTTTTGAAAACGGATGGTTAATGATGCTCTCCTAAGGCCTGTAATTCAAGGACCTTGTAAGTTCACTAACCAACACATGGTTGGTGTTCTTTGTGCCTTCTTGTGTTTGAAATGAAACTCTTAGTGCAGCAATGGATTACACATAGTCTACACCAGTGGTTCCCAACTTCTTAAAAATCATACCCCCTTTTATAGTATCCAAGTAACCTGTGACACCCCCCACTATATTTGCATAAAAAGGCATTTTAATAGGGTAAAGTCATCCCTTCTCAGAATGAAGAGACTTCTTTCCCAAAAAAACCCCCACTAACTTTAATATCCTGCTCTGAAAGGTCAGGGAAGAAATTATTTAACAAGGGCTACAACACATAGAAGACAACCCGCAACTTCCCCCACCCCCCGGAAAATGGTTTGCAAACCCCAAGCTGGGAAATACTGGTACAACCATTGAACGGAAATGTTTTGCTTCCCAATACAGCTTTGCTAATAACAGGAAATGTGTCACATGTATTAACCAATATGCAGAAAGATCCTATGCTGCCTTCAATTGGTTCCAGAAGTAATGATGTCTATATAGTAACCTTCTCTATACTTGGAAGTTAAGCTGCCAAATGCCATGCATTTTCCACAGGGGAATCTTACTGTGAAGGCTGCCTGTTAGCCATTTCCTCAGCTGGCACAGATTTATGGAAAGGGGTGGGAGTAAAGTATTCCTCTGCCTGTGTAGCTGGGATCTTGGACTCTATGAGCATGTCCGGCTCTAGAGCAAAGGACCAACCTAGGTGCAACACCTTCATGTAATAAAGAGATTACACGAATGGCTTTTAAAATAAAATTACAGACTTTGTGTGTGTGTGTGTCTAATCCAGATTTTTTGCCCCACTGTGAGCTGAATCCAGATCAGTTGGGACCATGCCTCTTCTAAAAAAAAATCCAAATCAGATTAGCATATAGGCCCTGCACCTACAGTTTAATTGCAAAGAGACATTGCCACAGTTGAGTGAAGGAAGATGGCTTGAAGAAGAAGAAGAAGAAGAAGAAACTAAGAAGAGTGTTTAACTCAATAGAAGATGCCTTCAGAAATGTACTGCGTATCTTCCTAACTGATCCCTTTGTTCATATAGGTTGACAGTGCTTATATAAACCAGCTAGATACAGATTTCTATTTTTAAAAAATTCAGTTTGTAAAGTAACATTATAAGCATTCTTTCAAACAATATATCCAACAAATCTTAATCTGAAATTAGGAACTTTTTTTTTAAAAAAAACCCTCCCAATTAGCACTAATGGTTGGCCACCCTATTAAATCTTTTATTTAAGCATTTTAAAATGTTGTTTGTAAAGACCCTGTTTCTGGTACAATAAAAGAACTATTTAAACAATTTTCAGCTTGACACTAGATCTATTAAATAGACTAGTGTTGATGCTTACAGTTTCAAGCAACTTGCTAATTGAGCTTTTCCTCTTTTTTTATGCCATGGAAGAACTCAGTGCCTTAAGCCATTGGCTCCCAACCTTGGAGAAACCATGTATTGGACTGCAATTCCCAGAAGCTTTCATCGCCAGTTGTGCTGGCCGTGGATTTTGGGAGCTGCAGTCCAAGAACACCTGAATTACCCAAGTTTCGGAACCACTGCCTTAGGCTATAATCCTGCACATAATGGAATTTATGCTCTCTCTGTGTTTGTGTGTGTGTGTTCGTGTGTATGTGTGTGTGTAGAACTATATCCTTTCAATATGCTCTGTGTCTCTTAGTCACAGATAAGTCTCTCTGAGTTCAAGTGGAAGTTACTCCTAGTTAAGTGTTTATCTCGGATTGCAGATATGAAATCCCCAGCCACAAGTACCTGCAACCTGTCCGAGGTTCAAACTGAACATTAATGAGAACGTTAATTTCCTCTAGTTTCTTTTTCCTTCCTGTAATGGAATTACAAACAGATCTGTAAAGCTCATGTTTGCCTTCCAATGACCAGTCATAACACAATAACACAATACATGGTAAATGCAAGCTATGCAGATAAAATAAATCAGCTGCTATAACAAATACATTTTTCACTACTGTACTTGAGGCAATGCCTGTTTGAAGGACATGATGAGCAGCATATCACCTAGTTTGACCATGTGCTTTGTTCGTTGCAGTTATTTAGAGAGTGGGTGTGCTTGCATTTCACTGAATCCCAAAGCCAGACCTTAATCAGATTGCTTTGGGAAATGTCAGGGGCAAAACAGGCCATCTCCGAAAAGCACCAGATTTGAATCTTAAGCACATTCGAGGCTTCCTTGGAATCAGAAGGATGTAGAGACACAAAAGATGTGTTTCCAAAACATTAATAGCATTTCTCCCTAAGGTCTGAAGATGCTGGGGCAGCAGGAGAGTGTCCTTTTGTTAACTACCAACTTCTGCTGCACAATGGCAAATTGCTTTACCAAGACTCCTCAGTTTCAATGCTTTTGGTGGCAAGATGTCAAAACAATGTCTTTTTATGTTGACTCCTCTTTGCTGGTTCTCTTTCAGGACAAAAATGTTAAAAGAGTTTTGATGGAGTCTCAGGGGCTGAGGAAGATGTAACTAATTGAGAATTTGTTCAGAATATGCTTGTTCTGCAACTCCTCCTGCCTCTGCCACCATTCACACCTTTCCTATTGAAAAATTTGCATTACTAAAAAGCAGAAAATAGAAGTTTTAATCTGTTTTCATAATCAGAATTCTCTAGCCCCTTTTCTGTAAGAGATGAGTGACTAGATATATATATGATGAAGGAGTGTCAGTAGAGAAGAAATGGAGGCAGAGTGAATACTGAACATCTCTTGTTCCTTTTCTCAGCACATTTTTATCTTAG